GCTGCCTAAAGAGTCGATCCAACCACATGCAGGCAAATGGTATGAATTGAACTGTGGAGAACGAGAGAACAAAGGAGTATGAGGTATATTTTGCGGCTCTGCGGAGGTGAATAGTTGAGACAGATATCATGGTGCTTGCAGATGTTATGCTCGGTAGTTCGTACATCAGGCCTCGTGGAATAAAACAGCCATGGGGGCGATGTTGACGTGCCTGTGTGCTACCGACGGCAGTGACTCACTCTTAACTTCAATATTCCGTTGCTAAGACTGTATCGAGAGGTTCAGAGGGTCCCAGACCAAAGGACTGGAAAACGAATCATACCCATCCTTGATGGTGGTGGCGTTGGGCGTCCCTCGGAGCCAAGACAAGCCAAGAGGAAGAGCCAAGAGCCTCACAGTGACGTGCAGGCAGGCAACCAGGACCCTGGTGAAACTTGTCGTACTTGATACGACTCCCCCACAGCGAATTCTTGGATGGTGGTGGAAGTGGCGGATTCGTGGACGGCGGCCGAGCCCGATATTGTAAACACGATGAACACAGGCACAGCCCCAACGCACTAGGCGTCGGGCATCCCTTTGACGACATGCATGCCCTCGGGACCCAGGCACACCAGCTTCCAGGTACGAGGGCGATGGCGAAGTCAGACACGAGAAACCGAACGTTTCATGATTTGATGAAGAAATGTCTCTGGCGAACTCCTGAGTCGAGAACAACATTCATGCATGATGGCGAATGCTGCAACTTGCTCTGGGACGGGTGGCCGGCCGGTCCTTCCGCCACTAAATGTCTGGGCGGGAAGTGGGGAGGGCTGCCATGTGAGGCAGGCGGGCATGACGGCAACTATCAGGTCAACTGGTACGTACTAGGCACCTACAATGCTAGTACGCAGGCTGTTCTAGCCTGAAGCCGGAGGAGCCCGCCAACGCGCTCCTGGTCGAACGAGACATGGATGCAGCTTCGGCTCCAGCTCCATCTACCGATCATCTCACGTGGTGGCAATTCGGCCCAGAAACCACCAGCCAACAGACCCCAGCTTGATGAGCCATGAACACACGCCAAATCGCAAGCCTCGGATTGGGTCTGGGCTGCTGAGACCGAAACCAGCCAGTCACCTAGTGCTGGGCTACGGGGCCGTACAGAGAAAAGCAAAACGCAGTTTGGCAGCGCAATAATTCTCCCGCCAGCGGGAGGGAGCATCTTGAGGACCACAAGACCTAGACATCCAGACGGAGTACAGCAGCAGTGGCACGTGCAGATTTTGCGCTGGTTGGTCAGCCCTGTGTTCGGTAGTATTTGCGGTACAATTTCTCACATACTGCCACCTAGGAAGGTTCCATCTGGAATCTGGACGTCATCAGGCCAGGCTTAGTTGACAAGGAGGGTATTGAGGGTGTTCAGCCAGCGTCCCTTTCTTGGCTGGCCTTCGACGATCAAGAACGACTGGCCGTCAGGCCCTCTTGTACCTTTCAGCCCTGGAACAGTCCCGTACAGTACAGGGGTCACGCGGGGAGGCGGCCGTCTCTGGAGATCATGCCTATGTTGGTACATTGAGGTCAACACTGATTGTACGTTGCCCTCTGTGTGAGCAGTGTGCATGTGTTGAGCCATGGCCGCTGTGACGCACACATGGGGGACAGGGACACTGCGCTTGTCATGAGGGAACGCCGCAGGAGCATGGGGAAACTGGAGGGGAGGGCAGCCAAGGAGTGGATGAAGGTGGTGTGGGTGGCAGCCATTGTCTTGCATCATTCATCACGCCCGCTGACATGCCATTAGATACCTGACGTGACAGTTCAAAAGTTGGCGACAGGGCAGAAGCATGGGCTTTCCAACGAGGCCACCTTCCATCGGCACGGCCTACGGCCTATTTCTGTTCTTAGTTGCCACATCTGTTCACCAGGAGTGGGAAAAAATATTTTCACTCGTCGTTGGAAATTTCGGATCTATGCCTGGCGAACAAACTCTCAGACTTGCCACTTATACGTGAGCCGTCGGCCGATACTTCAACTAACGAGTCGCGCAAGAGCCTGTTCCATGACAAACCACTTTGACGTACCCACACGGCCATCACGAGGACTCATCACGTATTAGTTCTTACGCATACCTGGCCGAGGACGTGCTGTATTGTCATTTACAGAGAGACAGATCTCGAAAACAGCGGCAGCATTCCAGCCCTTTGGATCTTACGAGCCAATTTTCACTTCTCATTTCGACCCCAGAGGTTGATCGAGCTGCATCAACGCTGGGGGAGCATTAGCGACAGCGACGACTTACACGAACTCATCCTCCAGACACCCAGCAATGAGCAGCGGCACCGAGCTTGAGCACATCGACGCCGTCGATGCCTTCGCCAGGACACTCTTTGTTCGAGTCGAAAAATATCCGTCACCACTTTTTACCGAAGTTGCCGCTGCCGTCCGGCAACTACACCTTGCTTTACGACATCTACGAGTAGAAGCTGCTGACCCTGACTCATTGCTAAGAAGCGCAGATGCTTCTGTCTATGCCCGTCAGCTAAGACCTATCGTGGAGGACTGTGATTTTGCCCTGAAGCAGCTTAAAACCACTCTAGAGAAGTTTGATGGTGCTGGTGGCCGAGAAACAGATGGACTGGTAGATCGAATAGCCGCGGTGCGGTCTCGCCTTGCCAACGAGACAACGAGCGTCGATATGTTTCTGGACACGGTGCAGTTAAATAATCCTGCGAGTAATGCACCCGAGGTTGTTCCCCAAGGAAGCGAGTCCAACTTGGAAAATATTAAAGACAAGGTCGACAATATCGCTGCACGATTGTTTCGTCGTTGGAATACAAATAGCGGCATCATCAATGACGAGGATAGCATGTGGCAAGAATTCAAGTCTGAACTTGAGATGGAAGGATTCTCCCCCCACATTCTGCACAAACACAAGGTCAGTCCCCCGTTGCCCAGCTACATGATATCATCTTACGCTGTTGCTGATCTGTTGCTCTGTACAGGATGTGCTTCGCGCATATATTCGTGGGCTTCAAGCTATGTCACCGGCTAATGGCGGTTCTCCCCCATCAGTACGAGGTTTGCTTGAGCACGAAGCCACAAAGAGACCACCACCGCTTCCACCCAAGGAGCCTTTGTCCCCAAAAGAGCTGTACTCATCTTATGTAGAAAACGAGAAGTGTTTTCCTAGCATCAAGAAGGAGCGGCGCATGCCTGATCACGCTCCCGTGGCTGGAGGATTTGATAACGAGAATCATTCATTCTCCTCCGATTATGGGTCGGGCGCCGTGGAGGGCTCCCTTGCTCTTATTTCCACCAAGGACTTGATCAATATGGACAGCATCAGTGCAGGCATGGCTGTTATGCATTTGAAACCATCTAGCTCACATCTGGGGGCCCCTGGTGTGACGAGTTACCCGGGCTTGACAATTCCTGAGATGTCGGGAAGCTGGCCTCCTCCGCATATAACCAACGGACAATCCAATCTCCCTAATTCTGTGGGCGGACCTCCTAATATGGGCTATCCGCAGCCAGGATATCCAGCTGCCTCTGGAGCGCAACCAGGTACCTTCTCATCAAGCCCAGGAATCGTATCTCGCTTGGCACCTGATAGGTACGGCAAAGAGATCCCTATGGACGCATCCTGGACAAAGATCCGCAGGTCGTTGGTTAGCCCAGAGGTACTGCAGCGTGCCGGTGTCCGGTACGAGGCGCGACCAGAATATGTGGCAGTACTCGGGAGACTATCCCGAGAACAAATACAGGATTATGCCAGACAGAGTGCAGACTGTCGTGCTGCTCGATCAGGAAGATATCCAACAGCGCAACGCCAAAACCGGTATACCCAACGCGACAGAGCCGAGTCAAAGAGCAGCCTCGAATATAATGACGATGAAAGTGTTTTATGGGATGAAAGCGATGCAACAGATCATGAAGATGCGACGTCAACAAGAGGGAAAAAAACTTATCCATACATTGTCAGTCCACCCAGTAAGGACAAGACATCCCCTTCGAGCACAGTGATGCCGAAGCCTATTTTAAAGAACAAGAACGAAAACCACGTACGGTTCGATCCAGAGCCCCATGAGGTAGACATTAAGAGTTCGAAGTCATATGACGATGGCTACAATAGAAGGCGAGAAAACGAGTCGCGGAGAAACCGCGACCATCGGGATAGCGGAAAACGAGAGGAGAGGCCACGCGGAGATGACAACCGTCACAGACACCCAAATCGCAGCGAACATGGCCGTCGGAGGGATCGCAGAGATGAGAGACACATGAGGAGGAAAACATGGGGCGAAACCATTGGTGTTGTGAGCATCGGTGGTGCCGCCGCAAGTCTCCTCGGCGTCTTAACGGAAGCAGCAGTTGGATTCTAGCCATGGCTAAAACCACGTATTCCGAATCACGATATCACCTGATCAGAAACTAGCGTGCACCTCCAAAGCTGCTTGCTCTACTCGGCGCATGTACGATTTATGTGATGGTCATCTCTGGCATTTTGAATTCTCCTTTATTTGGCTTTTTATTTAATGTGGACATGATCTTTGAGGGAATAACAGAACCGTGTACGAAAAGAGGCGCATTTCCACTGTTATATGCTGTTTTCCAATGGGGAGGGATTAGCCGATGTGTGGCTGGGAAACACTGGAAAATAATGAAGACATGTACCATGCATGAATCACGTTGAAATGAACTTCAAGCTGCCCTAGGATGTTTGTTAAATTCTGGTTACTTGTTTGGATATACCCCAAACGGCAATGAGGCATAGCAGCCGAGGACAGCGCATATCATACATATTTGAACGGTTATGAATTTGCTTTTGTATCACTACAGGAAACGAAATTGTCACGGTACAAGAAATATATGAAATTGCGTGATGTTCAAACAGGCAAAACCCTAGGGCGCCACATGCGTGGTTGCATGTGCCATGTTGTGTAATGCGCCTACTTGATACACAATTATATGCTTATGCCTCAACACTGTAAATGCTACCAAAATGCACGGCATGCCCACACGATATTTTACATAATAAGCTCCTCCTCTAGCCGATGCCACCACGTTCTTGATTCCGCGTCCTCCTGCCTAGGCGCCCTTCCTAGCTGGGCGATTCTCCTCCGCGGTCTGCGGTGCCACCCGCGTACATTGAGGACAGGTGCCTCGGGATACGCAAAGTCGGGCTCATCAGAGCCGTCCAGGTCGCGAACGTGGAAGCCAGCCTTTTTCTGCGGCAAGGTCGACCGCCAGCATCGGACCCACTCGAAGCGGCGCACGGCGTCGGGACGGGTGATTTGCACGGCGCCCTGGGCGGTACGGTACCGGACCTGGTGGGGGAAGAAGTCGGCGAACTCGGCGAGCAGATTTGGTATCATGGTCTTCATGACGACTCCGTCGCGGTGCCCCTTGTTTGCGGAGGCGGTCTTGAGGAGCTTGTCGAACCAGCTCGATATGCGGTGGCGCACGTAGTCCTTGTACACTTCTGCCTGGTGGCGACGGTGAGTGGCCTCTGGGGAGGGCCCGAGGTCGTTTTGCAAAATCTCATCCTGGACGGCGAGCTCGTAGTCGTCGACGACGGCTTCGTAGAATGGGAGGATGTCGTTTCTTACAATGGCGAGGACGCGGCCGAATGAGCGCTGCGAGAGGAGCGTCTTGATGTAGATGTCGTAGTCGTCGAACGACGGATTCACATTGTACGGCGGCGAGGTCATGACGTTCCAGACTTCTCGGACGTCGGCGCCTGATGTGACTGCGTATTGGGAGTGCTCGAGGAGCTTTCTCGTGGGCTTGAAGGGTTTCGAGGCGCAGAGGTAGGTCCAGTTGAGAAGGTTGGACCACGTCTCGCGGGGAATGGGGACGTCATATCGTCGCGAGACAAAGTCGAGGAGCTTCATGCCCAGGGGGATGTGGGACATGGACCCGAAGGCCTCTACGATGGCGTTGAGGAGATTGCCAGTGGGCTTGATGGGGGAGCGTGGAGGAAGGTCGACTCCGCCTGAGATTTGGGGGTTTTCGGGATTGGACTCGGCATCTTGGTGGATCATGATGCCGTAGTAGTTTTTGAAAATCAGCGTCTTGATTGAGTGTAGGGAACTGGATCGGGCAAAGGCCACGAGGGAGGCGCAAAGAAGCTCCTCGTCCATCTCATGGCCATAGAACAAGCCCCGAATCCAGTGGTTCTTATAGCCGCGGAAATCAATCCGTCGTCGGACAAGGCGTCGCATGTCCTCGTCCAGCTCATCTGGCCTTCGGTTCCAGGGCCTCCTCTTGAAGGCGTTGATGCAGTGTCTGACGCTGTCCAGGCGCTTCAATGTTGCCATGGGCAGCGGTGACCGGTTGCTGTACATGTCTCGGGCCATGACGGCCACGCGCGAGCGGTCCCATTGATAGTACGCAGGCTCGACCACGAAACGGGACTTGATGAATTCTGTCCAGGTCTTGCAGGTGCGGACATCCTGCAGGCCCTGGGACGGCATGATGGCCCAGAATCTCTTGGCCGCCTGGTAGTCGACGGCAGCACCGGCACATCGTAGAAGGACGTCAAAGTCGGCCGCCGCCAAGCCATAGCGGGAACCGGCACGGACTTCCATGAGTATCTGCATACCGCGCAGCACTTGGCGATGGTGATTGCGGACTCCAAACTGGTCGACCAACTTGCCAACATCGGTGAACTGAGTTTGGCCTGGGGTCAGGTTGAGGCCATGTGTAACATCATGTTTCCTTGTTGCCAGCAGAGGGTCAATGCTGCGTAATATCTCGGAGAATGAAGGGCCTGGGAGCTCCTGCGCCTGTCTGACGGCACCGTCGTTGAAGGGCGAGCTCGGGTTGCTAAGGAGATCGGTCCATTGGAGGAATGCCTTGTACAACAGCTCGGGGTCCCGAGTTTGCACTGCATCCAGCACAAGGTCAAGCTCCGTGCGTCCGCGAGGAGGGAGGAAATCGGCGAAGTGATGCCGGAGAGGAGCTGCTGCGGCCACCGTGGGCGCATGAGAGGCCAGGTGTCGTTGTCGTTGTCGTGGGTTTGCTTGGCTGAGGAGCTTGCCATGGGCACATCTCGCCGGACTCTCTGTCCGAGATGGGCTGACGGCGGGTGGCCGATTCCAGCTCGCCTTCGTCCAGAGAGGCCTCCTCAGGGCCATTGTCTCGATGTGCACCGCGGCAGCAATCCGCACCAAGCAACCAACTGCAGACAAACGAGGGCTCTGGCGCGTGCGGGCAGCATGGAGAAGGACGAGTCGAGAAGGACGGGGCAAAACCCGGGGTTCTCGATGTCGATCTGTGAGGGTTCAATGTTCAGATCCACCGCGCCCAAGGATCTCCTGATTGGAGCATGAAAGTGCACCAGACTCAATTGCTCTAGGAGGCCCCAGGTGCCAGCACAGACGTCAACTGCAAGGCAAGTCCACTGCAGTCTGGCCTGTGCCGCTCTGGATGGACATGCCAAGCACCAGGCCCGAGGATTTTCCACCAGACGTCGACCCTTCGCCTTTCCACCCCACCGCTCAAGGCAGAAATCATTGGGCGCCTCGCTTCTCATCGACTCAAAAGCATTCAACTCGACGCGCGCAGCTTTGGCAGCCTGACGCCTGGTATACACTCTCATCTCAAAGGCAAATAGGCTACACGTCGATTTTCGCTCAAAATGGCCGACACTGGCGACGATACCGGCCATGTCTCGGAGCCCCTCGACCTCGTCCGGCTCCTGCTGAATGAGGTGGTCTTTGTGAAGCTCAGAGGTGACCGTGAGCTCAAGGGCAAGCTCCATGTGAGGCATTTCAAAAGTCAATCATGTGAGGGTAAGGGGTGACTGACAAGCTGCAGGCCTACGACAGCCATTGCAACTTGGTTCTCGGCGACGTTGAAGAGACAATTTATGCTGTCGACGAAGACGAGGAGACAATCAACCGCAAATCAGAAATGCTTTTTGTCCGAGGTATGTCGTGGCGCTGTGGCAGCCGACGCTTGTGCTAACAGGAAAGCAAAGGCGACAGTGTTGTTTTAATATCACCGCAGGTCCCTTTCTGATGCGGATGACGACGGGTGGTGGACGCAAAGAGAGAAGACGTGGACTACTGGATTCATGAGTTGACATCTCCTTGCAACCTCTCATCAGATCTATAATATACACAGGCCATCAAAGAGGAGTCGTGTTGAACTAGCAGAGCTAGCATGCAGTCGCTGAGCTGCATCGAAGCGTCTAGGGGCATTTATCTAAATGACGGTCCATAGCTTCAGAACCTCGTGATGATTAGCTTTTGGAAGACTTGCGAATCTTGTCTGACTGGCCCGGCTGACATGGCAGATGGCTTGAAATATAGAAGGATTAATAAGAAGAAAGAAAGAAAAAAAATGTTATAAGCTTCAGCTACCGCTGTCCAAAGCCCTCGCCTTCAAACATTACCACTGCATAAATGCAACGCATAAATGCACATATCCGATTGGGGATCGTGTTGTGAAATACTAGTCCTTATCTGGTGGGCTGATCACCCTTGCTCGATCCTTATCGATAACATCAGGTTTCGGGAGGCAACTTATTCGCCCCGCGACCCGCCGACCCGTAACGAGGTACTCCATCGCAACCTAGTCCATCTATGACTCCTTGCAGCAACCAAAGAGTCAACTGGCCGAAGCCGTGGCGCAGTAACCCAAGGCTGGTATACTCACACATTACATATATCCAAGAAAATCCCCAAGGACCTATTGCGTGCTCCTTCTTTCTCTTCCCCTCCCCTTTGCAAGAGAGTCCAATGATACCTCGAATATTGGTGTAACCCTGCACGGTCCTGTCGTCTGGCGAATAGCCATGTCCAACAAGAACACAAAAGCACTAGCGCATGAAAAGCGCAAGGGCGAGTCTGTAAGTTCTACGTAGCAAAGCATTGAGTCATTATCGACGCTGGTCTCACGAGAATTCAAGGCCTTGAGCGACTTTGCCGAATACGTGGAGCAGCAGCAGAACCTGCGCTTCCCTGCGTCAAGACGGACCAACGTTGTCGCCACGTCCAGTGCCAATGACGCGGAGCACCACGAGGAATTGGATGAACTATTTGATAATCTTGACTTGGCAGACACTGCACCGAGGATACCCCTGAGAGACCTTGTGCTCGGGACGGATGACCACACATTTGAGAAGCTCCATGATGTCATTGCCGAGCGTATCGAGGAGGGGATGGGCGAGACCGTTTTCGAGCTGGGCTACGAAAACAACGGAGACTCCATGAACCTGACCACGGATGACTGGAACACCGCGTACAAGAGACTGGTGGCTGTGGCAAAGGCTGCCGGGGCCGACTGTGAACTGCTTCTGACCAAGAACGTCGGTGGCGAACTCGAGGCAGAGAGCACCGCCAATAAGCCTGACAAGGGAGGTGGATGCAACGGCAAGATTCTTATACGGAGAGTTCCCACTAATGTTGAAGATGTTATTGAGACTAGAATTGCCGTTGTCGGTAATGGTAAGTCGGCCTCCCCAATATTATACATAGTAGGCGTGGGGATTGCGCAGGGAGCTGACTGGTTTTGGTCACTCAAGTTGATGCTGGAAAGAGCTCCATGCTTGGGGTGCTGGTAAAGGGTGACTTGGATGATGGAAGAGGCAAGGCACGTGTGAATCTGTTCCGCCACAAGCACGAAATCGAAAGTGGTCGAACCAGTTCCGTCGGAATGGAGATTATGGGCTTTGATAGCGTGGGGAAAGTAATCACGTCTGATACCCCTGGACGTAAGTGCCGGCTTTTTGCCTTTTGTGGTCTCTGGCCTCTGGCTATAGTTTATTTTTATTAACAACTCCGGATATAGGAAAACTATCATGGGAGGACATTGGCAAGCGAAGTGCCAAGGTAATTACCTTTAGCGATTTGGCTGGCCATGAGAAATACCTGAGAACAACAGTCTTTGGGCTGCTTTCCAGCAGCCCTAACTACTGCCTGCTCATGGTTGCCGCGAACAATGGGCTGGTTGGCATGAGCAAGGAACACCTGGGAATCGCTCTCGCTCTCAACGTGCCCGTCATGGTCGTGGTTACCAAGATTGACATTTGTCCTCCAAATATTCTGCAGGAGACCATTACCCAAATCACCAAGATCATGAGAAGCCCGGGAGCCCGCAAGGTCCCAACATTTATCAAGAACCGCGAGGAGTGTATCAACACAGCCACACAATTTGTCAGCCAGAGAATATGTCCCGTGTTCCAAGTTTCCAACGTGACTGGGGAGAACTTGGGCTTGGTCCGGACTTTTCTGAATATTCTCCCCCACCACGGGAGATACAATACGGATGCGCCATTTGAGTTTCATGTCAACGACACATTCTCGGTGCCATTCACAGGGACAGTCGTTTCTGGAATCGTCAAGTCTGGCGTTGTTCACGAGGGAGACAATGTCCTGATTGGGCCTGACTCCCTGGGACAGTTCACCCCTACAGCTATTCGATCGATTGAGCGCAAGAGAATACGTGTTCCCGCCGCTGTTGCCGGCCAGTCTGCCTCGTTCGCACTGAAGAAGGTAAAGCGCAAAGACGTGCGCAAGGGCATGGTCGTGCTTCCCAAGGTGGAAGGCGAGCCTAACCCCAAGGTTCACCGAGAATTCGTCGCAGAAGGTAAGAAATGACGCTGTTTCGGACAAGGACGTGTGTTTAGACACGAGTACTAAAACCTGCCTACAAAACAGTATTGATTCTATCCCATGCCACCACTATCAAGAAGAAGTACCAGGCGATGCTTCACGTCGGGCCAGTCTCCCAAACTTGCGCCATCATCGATATTGATAGGGAGTTGATACGGACAGGGGACAGAGCGACGGTGGCGTTCCAATTCGTCCAGCGGCCCGAGTACCTTGCGCCAGGCGACCGACTGCTCTTCCGTGAGGGCCGTACTAAAGGCCTGGGCATTGTCAAGGCCGTTGGCTATGACCCCAACCACCCGTTGATGGAAAAGTCTGCGAATGGGGACGACCAGAAGGATCAAGACAAGCCTCACGCGGGACAGCAAGTTCGGGTCAGTGCATAGAAGAAATTGTACGACGCTGGGTCTTTCTCCCAGACAGTGTGGCGAGGGCAGTGGGCCATCTTTCACGATATCATCACAATCTCTGTGCTTTCCTGCATGGGATTTTGGAGACGTTTCTGCTTTGTTGTGCTACCGGAATCCATAGAGCGATTGTTTTTTTCCCCCTCTTCATCTTCCTTCTTTCTCAAATGTTCTTTGTACAGGTCTACTCCTCATTCTTGTTTGTAGTTTTGCCTCCCCTATTTCTGATTTAATCGTAATATATGCAAAGGAGCAGATGCGGCACTGTTACATCTACAACGGCGTGAAGCCTAAGACAAGGTCCTCCTATTTCTGGACCTCCACGCCGGAATATACAGCACGGCTCTCGGATGGTGCTGATGGTTGAAACTTGACTGGCGGATTCCGGAGATGACTTGTAAGACAGCCGGGACAGGCGCCTGCCTGTTTTCGTGTATATTCTCTGCCATGATTGGTTGTTGGGAATGACATGCGTGAGAGACGCCATCAAACGTATGGGATGAGAAACTCTACTTTCCAAATGCCTTGATCTGCAACCAAGGCAGACTGTATCGTAGTTTAAACCGAGACTGACCCCTAACTCGGGTCCGAAGAGACCATTGCCTTACAAAAACGAGTCCAGTTCCCGCCCATGCATCGCCGTCCTGTCCCCTCGCATTATCCGACAAGGACTAATCCATCGCCATCATGACTTGCACAGAAACAAAGCTCCCGCCAACCATGAAGGCCATTGTGCTTCACGGACCGGGCAGCATCACCACCCAAGTCCTCCACGCCATGGTGCACAACGCCGCCAAGGCACTCATCAAGGGCACTGCCGGTGCCGGCGGCCACCCAACATTGAATGAAGCAACCGTACCCAAACACCCCAGGCGGCTACGGCGTGGGCCGAGTTGCCGCCTCCGGGCCGGACACGACGGCCCTGGAGCTCCTCCGCTCAGGGCATCTATCCCGGTCTGAGGACCGTCGTGGCCGGCAAGACGGGCAATCTGGCTGCGGCTACTGCCGCCCACGGCCCCCGTGGACGCTGTTGTGGATTTCAGCCTCCCCTGGCGCGACGGATTCGGAGTCCCTGGGCCAGGCGATTCTTCCCCTCCGGCGGTACGGCCGAGTCTGTATCACTGGTGGGCGTGGCGATGCCGCGCTGCCCGTTCCCCATGGCTTCATGGTGTTCAAGGACTTGGCGCTTCGTGCATCTTGGATGTACGAGAGGGAACATGTCAGAGCCCTCATTAAGATGGCGCAGCCGGGGGCCCTGAAGCTTGGAAAGGCGGCTGGTTTGGAGGTTATTGCTTTTTATCCGTTGGAGAGGATGGAGGAGGCGCCGGACAAGGGATTGGAGGCCGGTGCTTCAGAGTTGGTGGTTATTGGGCCGCAGTGACCATCTTTTGCTTATTGCGGTTGTTGCTTGCGGGTTGTTGAGGACGACTTGAACGGATGCCATGTCATCGAGTATTGAACACTTGTAATGCATTCCTTGACCTTGTTACCATCTATACGGGAAACACCCCATGACAACCTATTACAGCCATCTCCAAGTATACGACATGTTGCAATATACCGGCCTGGCGTGCGATATGTCGGTGCGCTTTTGGGTCAAATTCTTTTTGCCTCCCACTATATGACGTCTGATTGTAGTTTTGCTTCCGAGGTCCTGTGTGACTGTCTCACGGCTGTTGCAGGATAACTAGCTTCTTGGGGGACGAGTCAACGGGCTGCATTTCCGAGAAAATATGTCAATACGATCTTTAATGACTCGCTACCTAGACAATGTGCCCCATGGTATGCTTTTGCTATTTGAACCCAGACACTTCGTTGGCGTGATGCGAGACTTCCAGGCTTCTAGCCAACATTCCACAGTTCACGACGGTTCGAGTATTGGCCTGACAAAAGATGTTTGTGAAAGTTCTCCTCTTCGGCTGTGGAGCACAATTGTGGAAGGCTATTTATCCCCAGTCGTCGATCTACGACGTGTTTTCTGAGTTCCTTGGCCTTTGCGCGATAAACTTACATAATCTCCGTGACAGCATTTACATCATAGGGGCAATTAACCTTAATATCTGTTTCACGATGAGGTACGGCTGGCTCGGAGAATTCGTTGGTGGCGTCTGGCTTCGCCCACGACTGCAACTCAAGTGGTTTTCGCGCATTATCCACTTGCACCAAATTATGCCGGGATATATGTTGATGGAGGTGAAATTTGGCGGTCGCAGACTGATGATGGGGCAACGGGACCGCGACTAGTAATGACGTATTGTCCAGGGATATCATCCAGGCATTGCATTTTACTGCTATGCGCGTCAACAGCACTTTAAATGCGAGTGGCCCAGGCTTGTCATGCGGGACGAATGCTTTTATGCCTTGGAAAGTCGAATTTCAAGGGTACAAGCAAACAAGTGACCAGGAGTAACGTTATAGTGTGATGCAAGAGGAAGGTGTGTCATATTGGCCACCTTTGCAGGGCTTGTCGGGGTGAAGCGGCATTGCGAGCAATGCAATGAGAATAGCCACACAGCAAATACAACATTGTAGTCTTCTTAGCCTGCCCGTTGTTCGCCACGAGTACCGCTGTCTGGGGTTTGCTGACGACGCACCCAAGACAGCTTTAGGGCACTGCAACCCTTCGCTGCTTGTCTCAGACAAGGAAATGTTCTGCACAATGGCATGGCACCGGACCCTTGCGGCAGACAGTCCGGGGTCTCAAAAGAAAGGGTCTTGCGATTTGCGATTCGGGGAACAACTCCTCCCCATGCAACTCGGCTCTTTCGGATATCACGGCGCCATGGCCCGGCGGCATCAGGTGACGTGACAGGACAAAGCTCGGCATGCTGAAGTCGTATCATCAAGCCCGTGAGGGATGAGAGGCACGGACGGGTGGCATTTGGATGGTGGCGGAAGGGTCGGAGTTCACACTGGCTGTCTGTCCAAGGGATATCCGAACCCTCGAGATTCGGGATGTCTTGATTTTCAAAGAGTAAACGAATTCATTCCTTGACCTTCGCTATTGCCCTGCCACGAGTGCATTGTGAGCAGGCCTTTGCATACAAAGCAACATCTAATACCTCTCTAAGCAGAAATAACAAGGCTAAGCCGCACATTGAAGCCAAGTGAGCCAAGCTCAAACTCGCGTAAAGCGACTCCACCCGTCCCAAAATTTCTGCTCGGCGTCTGCCCAACTACTACTACCAGCCTGCCGCAGCGTTGGGGGCACACCGGCCGAGACTCCTGACGTGAACATCCAAGACTGGGCTACTCCGTACTCCGTACGGAGTATCAAGTCACGACTGACGTCGCCTTTGCTGTGTCCCATGCTGGCGCTGGTGGGGGGTCGGCGTCACCAGGGCTAACGGACAGGCGTTATGACGAGCCCAAAAAGAAGGTTGCTGAAGTCTGGAATGTGTTTTGTCAACAATGCGGATTGTCGAGTCGTATCCAGTAGTCTAGTCGAGGGGATCGGTGTGAATGACGAATCAATAATGACCCCTAGAGTAAATTATCGCTTCCCTAGCCACTTGGGAACTCTCATTGTTTGCAGCTGACGTTGGCCCGCCTTCCATGCAATGCAGGCGCAAACGCACAACTGCCGCTGCGTAACAACACGCTCTCGACTGTGAACGGAATATTCCATCGGCCGCCACGGCGTTCCTCGGACGCTCCACGGTATCATGGGTCCTTCTGACTGGCGTCAGCGCCACCAAAGCCTCACAACCTTCTCCCGGGGACGGGACAGAACGGCAAGCCTCACGGCGAGGAAGCAAAGTTTGTCGACGCCCGTGGAAATAACGGCAACGGGCGGAGACGAGCTGTTCACGACCCGCTTATTTTGTAATATTCACTGATGGCAGGGAGTCCCGAGTATGTACGCAGCATCTCTCGGATAGCAGTCGGATCGCAGTTCGATCGGAGTGTAGGGCTAGTTCCCGCGGGGATTTTTCTCACTACCCGAGTTAGCTTTTGCTCGCTTTCTTTGTTTAGCAACTTGCGAGTTTGGGGTCCATAGGCTGGTGCTGCTAGGGTGACGGCCTGTGCCAAATAGCATCAACTACGTAACCGGGGCCGAGGGTGGTGTCTTGACAGCCAGGAAAAGAAATAGTATATTATCTGGTGCAGTAGCCCATGCCTGACACCTTGGGTTGGTTGCCGACCCGTCTTGTAACATCTGTGTGGACGGTAGTTGAACGCCGTTTGAGAACAAACAAGCCACCTATACCAGACTCATTCGATTTTTCATTTTCGATTCCACCTACCCCGTTCGGTCTTTGTATCTCCGAAACAGACATTGTACATTCCGTCTTCATAGATAGCTCTCACATGGCGGTTGGTCCAACGTTATAATCGAGTCGGATATTGTGCTAGGGAAACTCTGTGCCTCTCGTGGCGCCAGAACCCAGCAGCCAAGTCTACAGTGGCGCATCCTACCCAAGCGAAAATAGAGAGCCTAGGTGAGTGGCAGCCCGGCCTGCATTGCCCTCAGGTGATCCCAGTCCCGAATCACACAACGACGGTTGCTTGGTTGTTTTGGTATCAAATCCCAGTGGCATTGTGCCAATTTCCGTGTGATGGGGGGCCTCGTGCCGACAGGCGTGGTCCTTTCATTAGTTGGGCTCCCAGAGAGATTCCATCGGCATCTTGTCCACCCGTGGGATACCGGCCAGAAGTCTGTCCACGTCGCCGGCATTTGCGGAGCGTTGGCCGCAAGCCATTAAGATGACAGATGGGAGCCGGGGGTCCCATGGAATCGGCAGACCGAATTGACAAATTACAAGGCGCTGCAATGCTGAGCAAGCATGGCTGACTGCATCTGACTCCAGTTTCAATCCCTGTTGCTTCTCCAGGCTCGGCTAGTCCTGCATCCCCTGTCAGCGCAGGTCGTGGTCGGAGGAGAGCGTGCTCATGTGTGCGTCGTTGACGTAGTTGCAACACTGTCCCTCTCGCTCGCCTTGCTAGTATTTGCTATTGACGGCAACGAGGGCACACGAACCGGTTTATTTTTACTTTTTTGTGTCTTTGTTCTCGTCCTGCCGGGTCGCTCAAACGTTCAAAGCCAGCCGTGCAGCAACGTCTCCGCCGCTTTGCGTTCCGCATTCGTTCGCAGCCTTTCGTGGCAGCATCAACACGACACGACACTCAACGTGTTGAGTTTGGAGTGACGGGCTAGCGTCGCAAGTCCTCCGGTCCTACCAGGTTCTTGTCACCCTCATCACGGTCGTCCCTTCCCTGCCGTCGTCTCTTGCATCGCACCTGCCGTCAGCTACGGCGTCCAGCTAGGAAGAATCTAGGGACATTTCCCTCCGGACTAGCCAGAGGAAACCAAAATTGTGAGTACTAAATTCATTGATTCAGAGCTCCAAAGCTTGAAAGCTTTTTTTTGTCCTTTTTTCCTTCTCTTTTTGTGGTCCTCCCGCTGCCCCTGCAACTCAATTCCAATCTTGCCATTTTGCCTTTGGAGCCGAACTCAAGGAGCCCCCTTGGCTGGCCTCACATCTCCCGGCGTTCTTGATTACAACGACTTTGGCCTTTCTCTCTCTCTCTGGCCTTGGGCTTTGGTGTTGTTTGCTGTACTGTACATATCTGAACGGCGAACGGTTGACCGAGCTGCCTAGTCGCCGCGGGCCCTCATTTTTATTAGATCTGCTCTAGCAGATGCCTCGGGGTCTATCCCCCAATCTCTGTCAGGCTTGGCTGCGACAGTCTCGTCTCAGTTCCACGCACATGCACACATGCACACATGCACACGCAAGAGTGCATAACTATACACTCATTCTCAACGGCGCACGACTCGAGCATCGAGCCTTTTGTGCTGCCTTTAAGCCATAAAACCGCCAAAACTCTGTCTCTCCCGCCGTGGCCATTTTCTCTCATCCGAATTGTTGTTGCATCGTCGCCATATCTGGGAATACATTTCCCCTCTTGTTTTAAGTTTGGTCACGTTTGATGCGCCTCGTGGCATTTGAGATCCCCCAAGGTTCAAAGGTACACCTCAGACCCAGCTGGTTGCAGCAGAGAGACGACGAGCCATAGGGCGTGAGCTTGCAACGTTGAACATTGAAGCCATTGCTCGACACATGCCATCTCCCATCTGTCTTTGGTGTTTCGTCTGAGCAACGTCTCGCGCCTCACTCACCACCCCTCTATGACCTCCCCATGCTTCGTGGCCCTCGTTTGTTAATTTGGCGGCACTGGACACCATTCTGACGACGGGTTGCACCTTGTCGTCGCCTCTGGGAAGAGGGATCGACCTGGTGCCTGGCAGTTCCAAGGCTCTCCACCCGTCTAATTTTACTTTCCACTTGGGCTTGATGCGCCCAAGCTTGTGTCTTGAGTTTCACGACTCAAGTCTCGGGTCTTGGGCACTGGCGTCGACTGCATGAACAGCCCACC